AGCACTTTTTGACTATGAAGAGAAATACTTATTATTCCTTTTTTTGTAAAGAGGCCTGCTAGTTGATGCCTCCTTCTCACTTTTCCTGAAGGAACTTTACGCATTTTTCTCTCTTTTCTTTTCAAGAGAATGGAAAGCCCCATTGTCTTGTATTGCTAGATCTAAAGTATGTCCTATTCTTAGTTTTAAATAGTTTTGATGTTCTCTCCTTTTAGGCGAAGTAGTTCAAACCACAAATTACCTAACAAGGGTAAAAGTGGTCATGTTAGCAATGGTGGAAGAAATTTGACCTTGTTTAGTGTATCTAAACCTCCTTTGTTGGGGATGTTTTCCAGTGAAGTGTGCCTTGAATGGCCAAGAAGGTCAAATGCATTTCCATGTATTAGGAAATTATATTTAATGGAAAAGAACAGTTTGGCCGTTCCTTTTTAAGTACTTAATAATTATGTTGGATCACTTGAAATGAGTTCAAATTGGTAAGAAATGTTTGCCAACTTAGATGTTTTTCTAATTTACTAGTTGTGTGGATTAAGTTTTGTAACTTGCCAAGCAGCTAAAGAGAAGTGATAGGATTAAATGTGTGTATGTAAATTGAGACAAATGAATATACATGTTATATATGTAAATTTACACACACACACACACACACACACACACACACACATCACATATATATATATATATATATATATATAAATCGAGACAAATGAAAGTTTTCCTTTTTTTCTCTAATATTAAAATATGGACTAGAAAGAAATACTTGACCAATAAAATGGAATTTTTTTCCTACTTATAAATGTTTAATGTTATTCTCTGAAGGAAGTACATAGCAAGCTATGTGATAATCATTTTAAGTTCTATACCATATTGTTATATTCTGTTGATACTTTGAATGTAGTAGTCTTGGATAGCTGAAAAGGAGGTAGATGTTGTCAGGAAGTTTGCCAGGGAGGACTTCATACTGTTCTTACAAGATCACTTTCATTTCAAGGTGCCCATTTTATTGCTCTATGATGCTAAAACTCTTACTTTCCCTTCTGTTTAAGTCATTATTTAAACATCTGTTAAGGCCTATTCTTCCAGGGACCTGCAGTTAGCGTAATGGCTATGTCTCTGGACTCTCATGTAGTCAACCGCGGTTCAAGTCCCGGACCTGGTGGCTTAAACTCATGCTGGGCACGTGTGCATGTGTGCCCAAGATCCCGAGAGGAGAATGGAGGAGAAGGGATTGCGGTGTGGCTATCCAACCTGGGGGGGGAATTCTTGCTTTCTGGCTCTGTCTCTTTCTCTCTTTCTGGCGAACACATGTGCCCTATAGCAAAACCCTCTCCAAAAAAAGAAAAAGAAAGAAAGAAAGAAAAAAAAAGACCTGTTCTTCCTATTAATAAAAGAGCACTTAGTGAATTCTGGTGATCAGTTAGTCCCTGTAAATCAGCTCACTCTGTAGAGCAAACTACTTTCCTCTTAACAAATGCAGGAACCAGCAGATGATGTAATGATTACGTCACTGAACTCCCACGTAGTTGACCGTGGTTCGAGTGGATCCAGTAGCTTAAAATGTAGGCCCTTGTGTGTGTGTGTCTGTGTGTGTGTGTATGTGTGCCCAAAATCCCAAGAGGAGAATGGAAGAGTAGGGACTGCAGCATTGACCATACCCCCCAGGGGGTGATTTCTTGCTCTTTGTCTCTCTCTGTCTCTCTGGCTAGCACGTGCACCCTATAGCAAAAAAAAATCTCTTTCGAAAATGTATTCTTGGGCGTGGTGGCGCCCGCCCTATGGAAAATGTATTCTTTATACCTTTTTTTTGATAGAAAACTTTACTTAGTTTGTCCTTAAGGCAGTTTAGTATACTAGGATGGTTCTCAGAGTGTGCTCTGAGGACCCTTGGGGATCCTTGAGACCATTCCAAGGATCTACAAAGACAAAACTATTTTTATAATCATAGGAGGTGTTGTCCTCCCCCACCCCCATGTTGATGTTGGCACTTACATGGCAGAAGCAGTGGTGATACAAATATATGCTTTAACATTAATCAAGGCAGTGACATCAAACTGTACTGGTAGTCATAGTATTCTCTACTGCCTTACATTGTCAGTAAAAATATATGCTAGTTCACTGAAGAATGACCTTAACAAAATAACAAAAGTAATGAGTTCTGTGAAATCTCAGTCCTGAATATGTAACTTTCTATATTCTGGGTAACAAAATGAGAAATATACACAGAGAACTTCTGCATATTAAAGTGGCACAGTTGTCTCTAGGAAAATCATTAGCGTGATGGAGTTACAAGCTGAACTTGCTGCTTTTTTCTTAGAACCATCCGTTTTACTTGCAAGAATGACTGATGGATGAACTATGGTTATTCAGACTTGGGAGTGTGGCAAATGTTTTCCCAAAAACGTACAAAGTGAGCTTATCACTTCAAGAAACAATGGATACTTTTTGTTGCAAATGATAAGATTCTAGCTTTCAAGAGAAAATTATAATTTTGGAAAACTTGTATTTACTATTCCAAATTTGACATCTTTTCATTATTTTTAAGACTTTTCTGGTGAGATTGGTGGTAATATTAATGAATGTGATATTTTTGATACTGTGTAAGTGAAATGTGTCAACATTTGGAAGGTTTTGGACACACATGCCCACGTTCCTAGTGTGTTTTTCAGGCTGTGTGTTTGGGACTCAGACTGCACAGTCGGCCCTGTGGGATCCAGCTGCTTTAACCACCACACCATTGGCTGGCCCTCACTCTTCTTTTTGTTTCCCTCTTTCTCTAGAGGGTGCACACACCCTCTCTCAAATTAAAAAAGAAATCACACCCCTGACTTTGTGGGGCTTTTTGTGCTATCCAGACCCAGTCCAGTTACTCTTCTATGTAACTCTTCCAAGTAACTATTTCATACTTTCTTCTCCAACTTCCAGTGTCTCCTCCTTCTTAGCTGATGACCCTCTTTCCTATTTCAAGGAGAAAGTGTAAGCTTTCAGGAAGAAGAGAACTGCCACAGCCCGGTTCCATGTGGAACAGTCTGCATTTGTACTCAGTGCGTTGGCCTTTCCTCCCAGTCCTGTGTAGATGCTCTGTGCCAGCCCTCATGGAGAGCCACGCCTACTTGCCCACTCAGTGTCTCTTCTCCTGGTATTCTGCTCCCTCTCCTTTGTATCACCAGCTTCCTCCCTCTGCAGGGACAGTCTACATCCTGTCAGCTACAAACACCTGTACAGCACTTTTCCTTGATCCCACCTTCCTGTAGTTGCCATTTGAATTGTACATACTAGTTACCTACAATTTCTTCCTACCCATCCTCTCTTGAATCTTTGATAATCAAGCTTTACACCATCAAAATGGTACCTGTGGGGCCAGCCAGTGTCGTGGTGGTTGAGGTGGCTGGATCTCACATGGCCAGCTGCATCTTTTGAATCCTTACCATGTGGCTTGAAAACATACCAAGAGTGTGCATGGCCAAAATCCTAACAGGAGGGAGAAATGGAGGAGAGGGGATTGCAGCATGACCATCTCTCATAGAGGGTGCTTTCTCACTTTCTCTCTCTCCCCCCCACCCCCCGCTTCTTCCCTCTCTCCCTCGTGAGTACATGCACCCTCTGGCAATTTTTTCTTTTTTTCTTTGGAGTCGTTTTTGCTATAGGGCACATGTGCTATCCAGAAAGACAGAGAGAGACAGAGAGATAGAAAATGAGAAATCACCCCCTAGGGGGAATGGCCACACCGAAATCCCTTCTCCTCCATTCTCCCCTCGGGATCTTGGGCAAGCACACACATGCGCCCGGTGTGAGTTTAAGCCACCGGATCCAGGACACGAACCATGGTCGGCAACATGGGAGTTCAGCGACATAGCCATTATGCTAACTGCTGGTCCCAATTTTTTTTTTTAAAGGACACGATCTGTTTGTCACTAGACTCTGTAGTTAATCCTTAGGCCTTGTCACACTTATCAATACCATTTGACATGGCTGAACACTTCTTTCTCCTTGAAGAATTTAGTTCACTAGGCTTTTGGGATGTATGAAGGGATTTTCGAAAGTTTGTGCAAAAATAGAATTAAAAGATGAGTTTACTTTGGTGCAAAAAAACCCTGAAATCCATGCACAGTTTTTTTTTTTTAATAATATGCATTTTCCATAAACTTTGAAGCCTCTCACCCCTGTGTGTCATATTTTTCTTGGTAGTTTTTATCACTATCTGACATAATTATTATTTATTTTGACCCACTGAAGTATAAGCTCTCTGATAACAAGGACTTGGTTTGTTTTCTTCACTACTTAGAATAGCAGCTAATATGTAATAGGCACTTGATAAATATTTGTTGAATGAATGAATGTGAGCTTAACAACTACTGTATACTTAATCGGATCTTCCCCTATTCTCAGCAATTTTCTTGGTCATAAGATTTCATAGCCACTTCCTTCCTCTTTCTCTCTGAACCTTGCATTTCCTATTTTGTATTTTTCATGGTCTCTACTCCAGTTCTATCTTTTTCAGGTAGAGCTATCACTGTTGTGCTTATGTTTCTGTGAGTCTCCAGTGTTTACAGAGCATCAGTTGATATGTTATTACAGGAGCACATGGTCTATGGGTCTGAGTTGAATTATTTTTGCAAATAATGCTGATTTTAGGTGCAGATTGAAACAAATTATAAAAGAATAATAACCAAGTTAAATCTTCCAGGGCGTAAATTATGACCTTCTGGTATATTTAGATTTCTCATTTTGCTACCGCCCAGTTTTACACTTCACTGTGTCTGCTTATTCTTGATAGAATTCTTCTGTGATTTTTCCCCAAGGATTTTTGGAAGGCAGAACAAATCACCTAGATCAGAAGACCTTTCTACCTTGTCTCTGGACTTAAAGTGCTAAGACTACTACTTAAGTAGTCTGTTCCTCATACATTTTTATCGCCTTTTTCCTTTATTTTGATGTGTGTATGTGATACTAGGTTTGTGTGAAATGTATTTTATGTGGTCTTTTATTTACGGCTTCTGCAGAACCTTGCCTCCTGGAACCCTTCAAATCCTGAATGCCTCTTACTTGTGGTGAAGGAGCTAGTGCAACAGTATCACCAGTTTCAATGCAGCCGCCTCCGAGAGAGCTCCCGCCTCATGTTTGAATACCAGACATTACTGGAAGAACCGCAGTATGGAGAGAACATGGAAATTTATGCTGGGAAAAAGAACAACTGGGTAAGGTTTTTTCAGAGAATGAGGAAAAAATATCCCTTCATCTCTATTAAAATAATCAATTTAGATGACCATGTATAGTAAACCCAATGTGTCTTCTCTAGATAAACATGGATTAGGTAGCCAATAGATTTTCTAAGAGTTTCAGAGGACCTTAATGTTCATCTGGTTCATTGTATTTCTCAAAGATATTACCTGGGGAATTTGCAAAATTCAGAGCTTCATCCCTAGCCTCAGATATCCAGAAGTCAGGCAGGGAGCCTGAGGATCTCCATCTGTACAAGGCTCACTGAAGGTTCTGATGTAGGTGGCTCCAGGCCACATATTGAAACACTCACCAGTTTCCCCTGCCTTTCAGTGGGGACCTTTTCCAGTATCACAGTCAGCTGGAGAGGCCAGTAACTCTGGGTCTCTCCCAGGCTGCACTCATGTGGTGGTAAAGGCAAAGTCATTTCAAGGCTCAGCTGGAGATGGATTCATTATAAATTCTTTCATGTGGTTATTGGCACGATTCAGTACTCGTGGGCTGTTGAACTGAAGGCCCCATTTGGTGCTAGGGGCTGTTTGCAGGCTGCCTTCAGTTCTTTGCCTCTCCCAAGGCTGTTCACAAAATGGCATCCAGCTTTACAAGATTGAACAACTGGGAAAGTGAGAGTGTGTGGGCTACACAGAAGTCACAGTCTTTTATAACCTGCGCTCAGGTGTGACGTCCCATCATTTTCTGTGCTGTTCTCTTTAGTACAGCTTATACTGGGATGGAATTACAGAATAGTGTGACTACCAGGGATCACTGAGAACCACTTAGAGGGAGCCTGACATATTTATTTATCATGCTTATTGTTTGTTTGTCTCTCCCCACCAGAGTGCAAAACTTCCTGGTGTTTGGGGGGATCTTTGCTTTATTCACTAATACGTCCCAAACACCTAGAACAGCGCCTGCCACATCATTGGTACTCAGTACACGTTGGCTGAATGAATGAAAGAATGAATGACTTCTTATTAAGCACAGAGTAGGTTTTGGAACTCTTTTCTGTGGAAATTCTCTCAGGTTTTACTTGTCTTCTTTTTCTGAGGCTAAATATGCTCCTCTCTTATTCTTCATCTTTTTTTGTTTTTGTTTTTGAGGATTTGATTTCCAGGGTCTTACATGTGATTAATGCCTTTGAGTCAGTATGACTAAAATTTACTCTTATTACAGATCATCTCGTTTGTTCAGTTCAAGGGCTTTCTTTTTTCTTTTATACATTTATTATATTGTAGCAAAAATACCTAACTATCTTTGTAGCCTTTACCATTTTTAAATGGTTGGGTGGTGTTAAGCTGAAAGGTCTTTACCTGTAATTCTAATTTTAACAAAATTTTTAATAATCTTGTGAAGTAGGGACTGAAAGGTTTTTACCGGAGTGTTATGGAAATGGCGACCCCAATCAACCACAAAAGTCGGTTCTTTATGTAAAATACAAGAGGCTTTATTGCTAGCGTGCTAGGACTCTACTCTCAGTCATACAAGACATGGCTAAGAGTGAAGTCCCGAACATAGGAGTATTCAGGTTATATAGACATGAGTCCATGGGGTGAGGGGAGGAAGCAAGATAAGGGGTTTCAAGGGTAATCTTATGGCAACCATTTGGTCAGGCTTGCAGGAGCATTTGATCTGGGTTTCTGGGGCTAGCAGAAGGGAGGAATTTTACATTACAAAGGTCTGGGCTAGCTTGCCAGACTAGCTTGCAAATGGCTCCAGGCTCCCTGCAAGGTGTTAACAAATTACCCCAGGTTTCCACAACTTCAGCAGCATCTGCTTTAGTACAGAAACAAAAGAGGCAAAGGTTAGACTTTATCTTTGTAAGACAGGCTAATCTAATTTTATTCTTACAAAGCATATCCACATTATTGTGTAACAGATCTTTAGAACTTTTACATCTTCCAAAATGAAACTCTGTACCCATTAGATATTAATTTCTTCCCCCATCCCTGTCCTTGGCAACTACTTTTCTGCTGTTTCTATGATTTTGACTCTTTCAGATAGTTCATGTGAGTGGAATCATTAGTTAGTTGCCCTTTTGTGATTGGTTTATTTCACTTAGCATATCTTTGAGTTTCATTCTTGTCCTGCAGTATGGCAGAATTTCCTTTCTTAAGGCTACTGAGTATTTCATTGTATGCATATACCGCATTGTTGTTTATCTGTTGGTTCCTCTTAGACATTTGGGTTACTTTATCTCTTGGCTGTTGTGAACAATGCTGCAATGAATTTAGGTATACAAATTCTCTCTCTGAGATCCTGCTTTGAATTCTTTTGAATATATACCTAAAAGTGGGATTGCTAGGTCACATAGTAATTCTTTTTTTTTTTTTTTTTTGGAGAGGTTTTTGCTATAGGGCGTGTGCGCTTGCCAGAAAGACAGAGAGAGACAGAGAGACAGAAAGCGAGATATCACCCCCCCAAGGGGGATGGCCACTCCGCAATCCCTTCTCCTCCATTCTCCTCTCAGGATCTTGGGCACACATGCACTTAAACTCGCACCCAGCATGAGTTTAAGCCACCTGGTCCAGGACTTGGACCGCGGTTTACTACATGGGAGTCCAGCGACATAGTCATTATGCTAACTGCTGGTCCTAGTAATTCTATTTTTATTTTTTAAGGAAACTCTATACTGTTTTCCATAAAGGCTGGACCATTTACATCTCCACCAGTAGAGCACAGTTGAAGGTTTTGAGCCATTAGTTATTTAAAAAATGTTTACTCTGATCACATTGCTAATAAGGAAAATGTTGAATTTAGTTTACCCTTTATCCCCAATAATTCCCTTATTAAATAATCAGCTTAGTTGTCCTTTCACAAAAGGGCGTTAGGTTACTTTGGTGTGACTTCTTGGTGAAACTGACTTGTCTTTAGTGCTGAGAAGCTCTTTTGAAAACAAGAATCAGGATCAGGCTAACTGGGCTTTTTTATATTAGTGTTTAGGATTTACCTTTTTACCTCATTCCTCCTTTTGATATTGAGGCGGAATTTAAATGTAAAACAGTTTTATGGCAACTTTTGGGATCTAAGCATTTTCACAATTTTATTCAGTGGCTTAGTTAATACTTATCTTGTATTGGGTTGTTGAGAAATTAATGACACATTTTTGCATAGAAAAGCAGAAAAAATATGTCTTGACTTTCCAGACAACCTAATAATTCATTTAGGTGTTGAGGTTTACATTCATTTAAAGCAGAGCAATAGTTAACAGTATTTTAAAGCTTTCTGTTTAATGTCATTGATTTTTTTTTTCGTTATTTATAAAACCTAATATCACTTCACATACTCCAGCTTATTTTGACTTAATACTGAGTGCTTCGCAAACATTATGATAGTGGTTATGGATTTAGGGGAAGAAGCTAAGAGTCCATAGCCAGGCAGGGTCAGCCATCAGAAGTGAAGCTCATAGCAGACCAGGCCTAGGGAGAGCCTAGGAGCTGAGAGTATAGAAATCAAATTAGAAGAATGTGTGTTATTATAGAATCAGGGAGTAGGTCAAGAAACAGGATGTAAAGGTGGGTATTGAGGGATGAACAAATTAGACCTTGCATGATACAGGACCAAATTGAAGGACAGCGTGCTAATAGAATCCTATTTCAGATCAGAAGTCTGAATGGTAAACACAGGACCCTGCCAGGAAGAAAGGAGCTGGATTTTGAGCCATGTTTTTTTTCCCTAAATCGACTATATTAGTTTTTTATTGCTGCTTTAAAATGTTGCTATGAAATTAGTGACTTTAGTGAGTGCAAATTTATTATCTTACAGTTCTGGAGGTAGTAGTCCAGACTGGATCTCCCTGGGCTAAAATCAAGGTGCTGGCTGAGCTGAGTGCCTTCTGCAGGCTCTAGGGGAGTCTGTTTGAGGGTGCTGACGAAGCTGGCAGCTGTGCTCTCAGAGACTTTGTCTTTGAGAAATGGAGAAGCATAAAGACCTTAGAAGACCATAATAAGTAAAAACCTTCTAGATATTGAGAAGAAATCACTCTCAGATCTTAAGTAGATGATTTGCAAGCATTGAAAAGTGAATGTGGGACCAGCAGATGGCATAATGGTTCCATCTCTGGACTCCAATGTGGCCAACCACGGTTTGAATCCCAGACCCAGTGGCCTGAAACTCACATCGTGTGTGTGTGTGTGTGTGTGTGTGTGTGTGTGTGTGTGTGTATCCAAAATCCTGAGAGGAGAAAGGAGAAGAGGGGATTGCGGTGTGGCCATCCCCCCATGGGAATGATTTCTTACTTTCTGTCTCTCTGTCTCTCTCTCTCCAGCGAGTGCACATGCCCTATAGCAAAAAATCTCTCCAAAAAAAAAAAAAAAAGTAAAAATAAATGTGATAGTTGGAATAACAATAGGGTAACTTAAAAAAACAGTCATGACAAACTTATTTTACTGTTTTAGGGAAGGTGAATATCATAGGTTTAGATTATCGCATTTTCAATAAAGCATTATCTGTTATCCACAGATCCCAACAACTAAGAAAGAAGCATACAGTCAGTGGAAACAGCTACCCCTGAAAGACGGGGTGTAACTCGTGGCAGTCCTCAGGTGTCTTGTGAATGTCATTTCACTGTTTTATTAAGGACTTGACTGAAGTAATACAAACATATATTTTGCTTCTGATAGCACAGAGATGGAGAAGGTAGCTATTATGAAAGTTTATAAAATCAATATTTAAAATTATTTTCTTGCACTGGGATGCTGTGCTAAACCAATGAGATGCAGTTTAATAGGCTAAGTCGGTGCAGGGGTAATGTACATTTATGGAAACTCTACTATTCTAGGTTTGCAGTTAAAAAAGGAAATATATCAGAGATAGCTTTTGCTCCTGATGGTTTAAAATTTAGTTGAGAAGACACAGTGCATATTTGTAAAAAATGAAATAGCAACACTGGATAGATTGCATCTCAGATGAAATAACAGAGTGTAGTATAAACATGCAGCAGGAAAGCTCCTGAAACTCACATCTTGTGTGTGTGTGTGTG